ATTGTGGTATTTAGCCGATAACGAATAATTTGACGATTAATCCCCTAGAGTCCCTGGACACCCTTATTTCATAGTCACATGACCAATTTAGTGGGAAAGATTTGCTCTTCATAAAAATCTGCTCCAAATTGTGTCAAAATTACAGACTTCAGGCTATACATCAAATTTTAAATTGTGTTGATAGATAAATAAGTTACAGAACTTTTTTTAAATGTTCGTCATATGAAGCTGAGAGGAGCAGCGAGCGGTTGGCATTAACCTGTTGGCATTAATCGTATTAATCGTCAAGTGCCAAAAATTAATCGATTAATGTTTTTCTGACGATTAATCATTCACGATACGATTATGCCCAACCCTAAGGTTGAGAACATAACCACATGGTACTTGAAATATGTACAGTCTATATCTATATAGGCAGCCTTAATGGTAAACACAATTTATATTTTTTATTCAAAACAGCATAATTCTTAAAGAAAATGTGAGAATTATAGACAAAAGTACCCTAAAGGATACACATCCTGCTTTTAAATATTTCTTTTTCACTTTTAAATCATTCAGTTGGGGTCTATATAAAGTGAAACTACAATGCTTTGTTCTGAATTTCTCCTTATTGTAACTCCACAAGCCCCTTTATCACGCCTTTTCTGGAGGTGTCTCAGATCAACTTGTTTTGAGGCTGTCTCTTTAAATCCAAACAAGACGCTTCACAGCCCGCCCCCCTCCAGCTTCCAAACTGGTCCATTCAAATTTGACAGAGGGATTTACAACTATTTAGCAGCACAGAAACTTTTTATTTACAAATTAAGTGTTCATCCAGCCTTACATGTTGGAGCCAGTGTCTGACCCAGAGCCAGAGGAGAATGAAAATGTCCAAATTGTAGTTGGTCAGTCCAGACCTTGTTTAGAAGTTCCGTTACAAAAACTGTGACGTAATATTTCAGAAAACGTCATAGAAAATAGAGAATACTGAACAGGTTGAAAAATATGAACCAAACAGAATAGAACGATATTCATCCATCACCAGGAGAAACTAAATTCAAATGTTCTGCACTCCAAAAGACTCCAAGTTCTAAACAAAATGCATTAAGGGCTAAAAAAAAAAGAGGACTTTGCATATGTCCCTTTCAAAAACTTAGCATATCCAGTACCTAAAAGGTAAGGCTGATCACACTGTTAACAGACACTCCTGACAAAGGTTAACAGGGTAAACAAGGAATTATAGTTTAGAGATTTTCCTTGCCACTGCTCAAATGTTGTCCAGCGCCTTTGGGTKGTTACTCCTGTCCAATAAGTCTTATAATAATCTTATGGCATCTGGAACCACAGCTAGTATAACCTGACAGAGAAGCAATTTCTGAATTAAAACCGATCAAAATAAATCTCCTTAAACCTCTTTGGGTGAAATAATTAACCTGAAGAGATGACGATCATAAGAAAACAGTTTTCTTGGAAGCGGAGCAATCAGCTATGCTAATGCTGGCTAATGATTTTAGTGCCATTTGATCACTGAATTATAGTAATAATCCATCCTGTCTCATCTTCTCCCAATTTTTATTTAGTTATGTTTTTGGTGTTAAAGTCTTATTTGAACTTTTGGACTGCCAGATCCAGCAATATTTCAAACAAGATGGATTATTATTTTACTTTTATACTGTTGAATGTTACTTTAACCAAAGTTATTCTTTAGTTTATTTTTGAACTTGCAGCAGGGCAGGTTAGCCCCTCATGCTAGAGGAGSAGCAGCTATTTTGAGTTTTTTGCACATTAGCTGTTTGTTTTTAAAACCTTGCAGATGTACTTGCAGTTTAATTTGTATTTAATTTCATTTGTTTTATGATCACACATATTAATGGTAGAAATACATGTGATTAAGCTATTAAGTGTAAGTTTTATGTGAACTTGTTATGTTATGGTAGAGACCAGTTAACAGAGTGACGTTCTCAGGTGTGACCAGGTGAGATGAGATGTGTATTGGAGCTGGAATAGGAAGTGCGCACAGGAAGCATAGACAGAGTGTAACAGAAATAACAGTAACTAATTAACTAATAAATTAATCAAAAATATTCTACAGATTAGTTGACTATCAAAACATTCGTTAGATGTAGCCCTACAAAACATATTACTGCATTAGACAACCCAAAACATTACAAAAAGCAAATTGTTTCCAAAACCTTTTCAGTTTCTACTAGAAAACTGTGCCATTTGTTTCTTTTATAAACACAAGGTAATATACTTGCATGAACTCAGTCTTCTGACACTGTTGTGAAATAATTCACAGGACTTTGATATTGAGGTTTCCTCTTTTATCATCCACATCGACATAAGCTATGGAAGATTGTGTTAAAATGTGTTTGTCCAACAGTTGCTATTAGGACACACATCTAGCTCCTACTCATAAGGACTGGTGATCTCTAGTATGACAGTGAAAGTCGCAATACATTAAAAATACAAAGACGGTAAATTGTGTTTGAGTTACATTCCAAATTACCATAAATATTACTTTAGCATAAAAAAAAAACTTCATTGTGAAAGTCATAACAACTAAAATAATTGTAGTATAAATAAAATATGGATTAAATTACAAATTTGAAAACAACAACAAAAACATTCAGGAAAACAATAAGGCAAGGAAAACTATAATAATTTAAACGATGGTGATAATTAGGGTTGTGTTTTGGCAAGAATTTGGCGATACGATACATATCATGACAGAGGGGTCACAATACAATATATCGCGATATATTGCGATGCTGTAAGCAAGGCGAGATATTGCGATATATTACGATTTTTTTGTCCAAAAATTCTATTAAATAAAAACCTCTTACTGGGAAAAAAAAAACAAAAAAAAAACGAAAAACCAAAATTCATTGTCTCAGAAAATTCTAATATTACATAAACATGCTTTTGATACATTTAGCTG